TAATTTCATTCTCGTTGACCTTCGAGTGAATCACATTGACTACCCGAGGTCTTCTTGTCTGAGGTTGTGGTGCTGGGGGAGGCGGAACTGCTGCCGCCTAAGGCAATCTTGCCTGTTCTTCCCTTGTCCTGGCCTCATTGATGAGGTCTCTCAGATGGCCTAGCCTCACCAGTTCTTCCAAGTGTGTTTTCAGGGCTCTACAACCCTGAGTCGTGTGCCCATCTTCATTGTGGTAAGCACAATGTCTACCAACGTTCCTTCCAATAAACTCTTCTGGAATAGGGTTGGTTCCGAATCCGGTCGAGGACTTTGGGAATCGGGATTCGGAACACAGTTGTTACTGCTTGTGTGGCCCTCAGTTCTGCCTCTTGTTTGCTCGATCCATTGTTACCTCAGCCTCGCTTCGGCGAGCCGTTTCCTTTTTCTTGCTTTTTTTCCTTAGTCCCCGACGTGTCTTCTTCGGCTCTGGCATACTTCTTGATTCTTTCCATGAGCTCTTCCATACTTTTTGGCAATGTCTTTGCCAAAGACTTTTGTAGTGGACAGTTGTCTTTCAGGCCGTTCTTGAAAGATATGACCGCCACCTCTTGATTACATTTGGGTATTCGATTGAACACCTCATAGTATTTTTTTGCATAGGCCCTAAGGCTTTCATCCTTGCTGATCTTCAGGGCCATCAATGCTTCCACCCTTAATGGCTGCAGCTTGTTTGTCACGAACCTGGCCACAAACATCTCGGCCAGGCCTTCCTAAGTCTTCACGCTTCCCTTTGGTAATTTGTGGAACCAATCTGATGCAATCTCCCTGAAAGATGAGGGGAACACTTTGCAGAGCAACGGCTCGTTCCCACTATACAATGCCATTGAGTTCAAATATAGTCCAACGTCGAAGTTGGGGTCTGACTTACCATCGTATATTTGAATCTAGGCATACTGAATCTCTTCGGCGCCTCAAACCTGTCTAATTCCACCGAGAATGGTGTCCTCGGCTTATCTGGGGAGGTTACCTCGGCGTCAGCATTCTGTTGTGTCCTCTTGAGGTAATCTCTTAAGTCCTCCTTCGTCCGCGCAGGAGCTCGGCTATCTCCTACTTTTAGTCCTTTTGGTGCACTACTTTTAGCTTCGTGGTGAGTCCTTTTCGACCCTTCTCCATGAGTTGTGTCGAAGCACAGTGCCTGTCCCTGAACATGTCGATGCCTTTTAGGGTCTGCCTCCTTTGTGTGATGCGTCCTCCGTGATTTTTCTCTTCTTGACTCCCTTCGTCTGACTTCCCTAGAGGATCGGTGAGAGTGTCTTTCGCTCTCGTTGTGCTAAGGGGCTACGGGGAACATTTTCTGTCCTCCCTTTTGGGTATTGGCCGCTGGAATCGGCGTGTCCTGTAGCGGGAACGGTGGCTGCATGACGTTATTTTGTATCATGAAATTGACAACTGACTGCAGGTCTGCCAATTTATTTGCTATCTCTTTTACCTCTTCGTCCCTCCGCAGGCACTTATCCTTCCAAATCTGGAGGTCGTCCTCGTTGTAGTATCTACTTCGATCTGGTTTCTTTGGTGCGTCGCCAGTCTAGCCGACGTCTTTCACTCTGTGATTCTGGTTACGAGTTTCTGCGTTGCATTCGTCTCTTGTGATATCAAGGTCAATAAGTCTCTCACTCCCAGTAGGAGTGTCGTCTCGATCTTTTCCTTCCGTCCGTTACTGGCCATATATTCTTCTTTCTTTCTTTTCCAGCAGGAGTGTGAGTGATTTTCCGATCACACTGCCCAACTCAGTATTCAGCTGGAGAACACTGGCAGAATAGATGATACCTGGCTAACCTGCAACAGAAAGAGAAGATTCCAGCGGTGGTTCGTCCACTCGGGGGCACTCCGACGATCAAGTCAGTATATCTCTCAAAGATAATCAATAGTGCAAGACTCACTGTACTGAATATAAATTGCATACCTTAGACCCACGGGGGTGCCTCTTTTTTATAGCTAACTCAATCCTTGTCCCAACAGGAGCCTAGCTCTAATGGACTTAGAATTACTATCAATCTTGGACTCCCAGTAGGATTGGAATAAACTCCCTAAGAGTCTTATTCTTTCCCAACTGTAGTCTTCTCCTTTTCTAGGACTCTTGTGCCTTATCCGCTTATTTCGGATTCCGATATCTTTGGAGATAACCTCGGCGTCATGACCAGGACACGTGGCACCTCTGCTGACACGTCGGCGTCACCTTAGCCACGTGTTAGTACTCAGAAAATATATCCCCACAGAAAGCAATTTCTTTACCTTTCTAAAAGACTCAGGTTGTTTTGAATATAACTTACAAATTGATTTTTTTTTTAATTTATTACAAAAAGACATGAAAAAAATAAAAAAAATTGATATAACTAAAATAAATCAATAACTTATTTATGTGCTCCACATATTTGTTCCTCTAAAAGAATATTATGCCACAAAAACAAAGGAAAGCTATTTCTTTGCCTTTCTAAAAGACTCAGATTGTTTTAATATAACTTACAAATTGATTTTTTTTTTAACTTATTACAAAAAGACATGCAAAAAAATAAAAAATAATATAACTAAAATAAATCAATAACTTATTTATGTGCTCCACATATTTGTTCCTCTAAAAGAATATTATGCCACAAAAACAAAGGAAAGCTATTTCTTTGCCTTTCTAAAAGACAGAATTATTTTTTGTGGGCTAAATATTTTTATTGTAAAAAGTGTCGTCATTATATTTTTAATAACGAAAATTAGACATTAGTAATGAATTATTATTTTTTGAGACCAAATTTTTTGTCTCAAAAAATAAATCATTTTTAGACCAAACTATTTTGCCCTAAAGTGTATTTATTAGTGACATTTTCAAAATTTTGTCGCTAAAAGTCTTATTTTTAACTTGGGTGATTTCACTTACACCACTATTTTACCTCTTTACACTCTCCATATGAGTTTTTTCTTTTCCTAATTTTATCTATGTGTGAAATTACTTTTAAGGACAAAACACTAAAGTTAAATATATTTTGTTATCTTCTTACATCTCTTGGTCTTCAATCCCTACTCCTCTTTTTCCTTTTTTAATTTTTCTTTTCTCTTACACATCTATTTTCAAAAAGTGAGAATCATTTTGATCATTAAAGAAAGCAATAGATGAAGAAACGATGGTGAAAAATCATCAAAAAAGTAAAATGGTGAGTTTTTTTTATATTTATTTAGTAGGTTTTTGTTTCGTTTTGTTGAACTAGTGTTTGACTTTCATTCGGTGGTTTGAAATTGAACAAAATAAAATAGTTCGGCATCATATTGTTGAACAAAAAATATAAGTCTAGTAACCAACTACCGAATAAAAGATACATTTTTGGTAATCCCAAACCGATTTTTTTTCAATTTGGTTGGCTTATCATTACCATGTATTTTCAGTTTCATTTTTTTTATATTTGTATATTTTTTTGCCTGGAAGGATTATACTTATACTCATTGCAACAATGCAAGCACTGCAATATTAGTGAACTCCACTCATAAATTTATTACAGATGAGGTTTGTTAAGTTTTTTTTATGAATACGATTTTTTTTTATTTTCAATTTGTATTGAGTTTTATTAATAAATTGACGTATAAATATATTTATTATCTTTAAATTTTTAATAGTTGTAAAGCATTAATTAAATGAACTTCTGACGTTGGGAAGAAGACTGAATTTGTCATTTTTATAAAGACAGCAGATGCGGGAGGCAATGGTAGAAAACAAATACTTACACTTGCTTGTGAAAGAAGTGATTACTATAGAGACAACATGAAGATCAAGGGAAAACGATTGAGATTGACAGGTTCTAAAAGTGTGGATGCCTATTTCTATTAAGTGGAGAAAAATTACCTACAAATTACCAAGATGAATTGTGATAACATGTGTGATTGATGGATACAAACAATGACAGATTTTATGGATGTTTTATGGATATTCGTACACTTGATGTTTTTATAAATAATTTTATGGATACTTTTTATGTATGATTTTATGGATGCATGTTTGATTTATGAATTTTTTTATGGATGCTTCGAGAAAAAATTAAATCTTTCGATGTACAGCGACGAGGGCCTAAACAACTTTATTGTAGTTTGGCAACATGACACTAGAGTAATCTCATTTGTATAACAATGTATCATTGAACACATGCTACACAAGTGACCCAAATTAATTTCTTGTTATTATCCAATTGGACAGCAACATGATGGTAGGAAAAAAAATATTGTTCGTTAACATGGCACTGGAGTAATTCAAATTAATTAGTGTTGTATTACCTAAGAGACTCACAACAAATTAAAAAACATTGTTTGGAAGAAAGTGGCTCTGTAAATGTATAGCAACAAAATGCTGGAGAGAGATTTATTTTTTTCGGCAACATAACACTGAAATAATATAAATTGTTTAGTACCGTGTTACCAAAATTAGTGGTGCAAAGAGATGAAATAATTAATTTATGGTTAGTTTTGGTAATATATTGGGAGTATAATGAGAATTACATTTTTTTTTTGTAGTGTAATGAGATGGAGGGTGTAAAGAGATTAAATAGTGGTGCAAGTAAAATCACCATCATAACTTTTTATGATGATTTTTTAACAACTATCTTCATAATGATAGAAATTAGTCACTAAATGTCTTTTACAACAAAATTTTTATTTTTAAAGACCAAAAAATTTAATTTCTAAAATTCTTATATATTATTGTGCACGTACCCAAAAAAAAAGTGCACCACAATTAACGAACACTCACATTTTATGCAAATAAAATGTTTCATATCATTGATTTCAATCAACAAATTTTTCAGTCATCACAAATAGCAGCTGAACTTGAAACGTAGTAGTAACTTTGTTCAAAGATCCAATATGACATGCATGCATACATGCATGATGACAGCCCTAATTTATGCTTAAAACCATTACCAGAATACCAATACCAACCCAAAACACCCACACCTTAACTTTTTGAATTCTTGTTGCCAAATTGTCATGAATCACTTGTTACAATGGGCATAGGGGTCATGCTCGGCCACACCAGCCTGAGACGAACCAGCATTCGATCCTTCCTTCATGAATCCACCCATACCCACACCCATGGGTGCAACTCCAAAGAACCCATGACCCAACTGGAAAACCGGTGCAAAACCCGCCACAGTTGAAACTCCAGCGCCAAAATCAACCGTCCGCTTCACCAATGAGTTCCGATCACCCTCAAAGTCACGAAATCGATTCAAGTAGAGAGTGAGAGGCTCAATGTAGTCGTCGAAGCCCAGCTTGCTCATTGCCCAGAGAACATCCTCGGCAGTGATGGTCTTTCGCTGCTCTCGCTGGCACCGGTCATTGGCCTCTCCCGTGATGAAGCTGATGAACTCTGACACGCATTCTTGGATTGTTTCCTTGGCGTCGTCGGAGATTTTAGCGTGTGGAGGGAGGATTTTTCGCATGATTCGAATCACGTTGGCAATAGGCATGAACCGGTCTTGTTCCCGCACAGTGCATTCGCTGTCATTGGTTGTCGTCGAGTGGTGGATGTTCTTGTTTGTTGTGTTGATCTCAGACGACCTCATACTTATCTCCGATAGTTTCATCCCTAGTTTAAAAACAAACAAAAAAGTTTAATTAAAGAAATTAGGATTGTGGTAATAGTTTTACCTATCGTTATTCACTAATATATCAATTAATATTATTTCATAGTATTTATTCTGATAACGTTTTTTAAAATTATAATTGTGATTACTGCCAATGTTACTATTAGTAAGTTCCTAGGTCGAATAACTTAATAGTAGTTGAGCAAGTACCGTAGCTCAAACTCACTTAGATCATCTGAATGAACATATAAAACAAAATTATATTTACCAACAATTTTTTAAATAAAAATATAAAAATCATATAATTATAATTTTTAAAACAAACTAATTTTTTCGTTAACAATCTATATACCAGATTTTATAAAATAAATAATTCAAATTGATAAACTAGAACCCACAATACAGCTCCTAAACCCCAACAATACTCTCAAATTAATTATATATATTATATTAAACATAAGAGAATCATCCTATATAAAATAAATTCAATAATAAATAACAACTCTTCTTCCATTAAGTATATTCAAATTAAGAGCAAGACAAATCTGACCTCCCACCAAAGAACTTTGAGACACAACCAGCCAAACAAACAAAGGGCTTCAAATTCATTGTTCTTGTCATCATGCACTTTCGAATTTTTTTAAATCTAAAATTTTCAATAAATAATATTTCAAGAATGTTATGTACCTATCTAATATATATATATAAACAAATTTTCTAACACCTCTGTTTGCACATACAGGTTTCAAACTATTTCTGTCAATATAATACATGCCGGAAAAGGGAAAGGAAATGGGAAAGAAATGGATGCATATTAAAGAGAGAAGAGTTATGTAAGTCAGATCAGAATGGGAAAGTAGATGCTATCTGCGGCTGAGATTGCATGAATGCCAAATGTTAAACATTCAAAGGCAAAGGCAGTGTCCAGGGGAGATTCTGTGGGCTTATGCACTGCATGCATGCCACTTGTTTCCACATTACCTATCAATTTCATCAAACTCTACTTACTATACAAATTTATCAAAAAAATTATCATAAATCGGGAAATGTAGTAAATCTGAATCACACATTAATATTTTTTAAATAAAATTTTGAGTAAAATTTTTGAATACATAATATTACTTGTATTATGTGCAACCATCTCATCTATTTCTAAACCAAATGTGAAAGTAAAAGAAAGAAATAAAGAAGAAGATCAAAAGGTAAAGCAATTTGTTAAAAAATGAAAGTCTTTACAAAACATCCAACGTATGATCATATAAATCTTAGATAAGATTTACTATGTTTATATCCAGAACTAGCATAATGAAAAATGTGAAAAACAGCAAATGAAAAATGAAAAAACCAGATCATCTCAAGTATTGATAAGATACTCATAAAGCCTAATACACATGATTTTAATTCTAAACTTGTTTTCATTGTGACAGCGAGCTACAGTTGAAGACACATTTGCATGCAGATAAAGAGAACAATACTACAATATAAATTATATAGAAGAAAAAATCCCCTTAACAAAAAACTTTATATCATTTAAATGATAAATGAAAAGGAAAGAAAAAAAATAAAACAAAATAAAAACCATAAAAAGCTTTTCTACATATGAAAATGGAAAGAACATAAAATAGAGAATTTTTTTTTATTTTTTATTTTTAGTAGTTTACCAGAAGATGTTTGTGGGGTTCTGCTGTAGCCATGGAAGCCTCCGGTCTCCCCACGTTCCATCTCTCTCTCTCTCTCTCTCTCTCTCTAAATTGATGGGACTAAGAATATGAAACTAAGATGAAGATAGTTTGTCAAGTCTCCCTGCCACATAAATAGGTATAATAATATATATTTATATATATAAACATATTGATAGTGCCAAAAAAGTGAAATCCACGTGGCAGAAGGGCGTTGCGAACGAGGAAGAGGGCAGTGGTCGGTACCAATAGACTTCACCCTTCACAGTTGGGTTGCACCGGGGAGCATTGACCGCCAGTCCATTCTTCCTTTCAATGCTTTCAATTTAAAGTTCAAACTCAATTTCGAAAAGAAAATATCTACTTATAATTTTTTTTTTTTTTTTTTTTATTCAAGATATAAATGAGTAGGTTTCACATGTATTTATAAATGTGAATTTTATTAGAGCATCTCCAATGATAATAAATATTTTACCTATCTAAACATTACTATAAAGTATACATTTTATTTTGCCTATCAATTGTTTCATGTTTCTGCTTCAACCATGCTCTTTATTTTAACTATTCGCCTAAATACTATTAATTTTATAAAATGTCACATCAGCAACAAAGATGGAGGGAAATAATCCTAATGATTAAATACATTTTGCCTAATCTTAAAGGCTAGCTACATGTAGCTAGTGAATGTGAGTTGAGCTAAAATGCCTAATCACATACCTAGTGCATTGGAGTTAAAAAAAGTGAGTCATACTAGGTATTTTACCTAACAAACATTATATGCCTAGTGCGTTGGAGATGCTCTTATTTTGTGTCTAACAACCAAGGTTAGGTTTTGTTAAGGATGAATTAAATCATATTAGCTAACCCCACTACCATAGAAAATTAAAATATTTTTTTATTTTTTTTTGACATACATCTCTTTAAAAAGTGTGTACTATATATATTCTTAATTATGTCAATTTTTCTTTAGTTATGACTAATTTTTTTATTTAATTATAAACAAATTTCTTTTTTAGTTATGACTCATGAGTTCACTTTTTCTTTTTTTAGTTATGACTCATAAAATAAAAATTATGTCATTTTTCTTTTTAATTATAAAGTACATATGGTGCATATTCTTTAAAAGGTGTGTATCATAATGTTATCCGATTATAAATGTTATTCTTGGGACAAAATTCTTTGAGTCCAAACTATCATTTTCTTTAGGGCAAAATTCAATTTATCCCCCTTGTGATTTGGATTCCGTGCAATTTATCCCCTTATGGTTGAAAAATAGGCAAAAAACTCCCTTGTAGTTCCGGACTAAATTGGAACACTAACTCCGTTAATGAAAGGCAAGAAATTATCTTAATACCTCTATGAACTTCTACCTTATTTTTTCTTCTCTTATTTTATTTCTAACTTAAAACAATAATAATTTTTATAAAAAAATAACATTAATTCAATTAAATTACATATAAACTACTCATCAAAAAATAAATATAAATGAACTATAGGTCTCTAGTTATTTATTTTAATTTTTAATTTTCTAAATTAATTTTCATTTTATTATGTTTTACAAAATGATATATATATATATATATATTTATGTATCTATGTATATACACAGACTGTGTAAGACAGTGAAGAAACTGATATTTTTCATTTTATTTATTTTATTTTATTTTTCACAAACTGGTATATATATATATATATATCTATACATATACAATGATAAGGATCCTTTATCATCTGCCGTTACGGCAGTTGTATAATAGCTAGATATATTCTGTTGTAGACTAACATCCTATATAACAAGATACAGTTACACAGTTACATAGTTAGGATTAGTTAGATAGAATTAGTTAGGTGGTTACCATGTGTATATATACTTGTAGAGAGATGGAATGAAATTAATGAAAAAAAAAAATCTTCAGACTTTCTTCATGGTATCAAAGCCGATAAGCTCTAGCGAGCAATCTGTAATGGCTTCTTCTTCATCTATTCCTCCCAATCTCACTATAGTGATTTCAAATCTCGGTTCTCTCATTATTGTCAAACTTGATAACACAAACTTTCTCATCTAGAAAAACCAGATGCAGAACATTCTTTGCGCAATCGATCTTCTCAAATTTGTTGATGGATCATATCGTTGTCCACCAGATCCACTTCGGAATTCTTCAGGCAATGAAATTTGTAATCCTGAAGCAGTACAATGGAGAGTGATTGATTCACATCTCTTGAGTTGTCTCACCACTACGCTTTCTCTGGCAATATTCACCACTGTTTTTCATCTTCACACCAATTCTGAGGTATGGATGTTGCTTGAAAAGCGTTTCACCTCTCTGTCTCGAACTCACATTCATCAGCTGAAGAACAAGCTGAATTCAATTTATAAAAATTCTGATTCAATGGAGGTTTACCTAAGCAATATTAAGAATATTGTGGATCAGTTGAATCTTGCTTCGTCTTTTGTTGATGATGAAGATATTGTGTTGATTACTTTGAATGGATTGCCTGCTGAATATGATTCTCTTAAAACGGCTATCCAAGCTCCATCGGAGAGCATTAGAATGGAAGAACTTTCTTCTCTCCTCTGTTCCGAGGCTATTCATATTGAAGGTAAGATCAACCATGCCTCTGATTTGGCTATTTCTTATGTAGCCATGAAGGATGATAATTCCTCTAAAGGTTTTACTTCGTATCATCATAATCATGGTTCCCCTCGGGGTGATTCAAGAGATCCAAGAGATACATATCGGGGAAATCGATTCGGTTCTAATCAATATTCCAATTTTCGTGGGATCTCAATCTCGAAATCGATCTACCTGTGGAACTATTTGTCAAATTTACGGAAAGGCTAATCATTCGGCCATAGACTGTTAGCATCGTCTCAATCTACAATTTCATCCTTCAACACTGTCACAATCACATTCTTCCTCTGTTCCATCTCATCCGTCCAAGGCATTTGTTACTTCTACACCAAATGATGCTTCCTCTTCATCTCAGCAGTCTTGCCATTGGTTCTTACATTCTGCAGCTTCAGATCATATTACCAATGATCTTTATAACCTCAACTCCTATCAACCATATACTGGCACCAATCAAGTAATCATTGGCAATGGTTCTTCTCTTCCTATTCATCACACTGGGAAAGGTATCTTACCTACACCTTATCATTCGTTTCGTCTTGATAAAATTCTTCATGTTCCTAAAATCTCTTCTAATTTACTTTCCGTGCATCAGTTAGCAAAAGATAACAACTGCAACATTATCTTTGATGATTCTTCTTTTGTCATTCAGGACAAGAACTCTAAAGCTATTCTTCATAAAGGATTGCATGCTAATGGACTTTATCATTTTCCTGTGCTTTCCACCTCTTCCCCTCATGTTTTTCAAAGCTCCTCCTCTGCTGCATCTGCTCCATACACTTCATCATCTGTAGATACTTGGCACATGCATTTAGGCCATCCTTCATTTTCTAAGTTTCAAATGTTGAAACCACATTTGTCTTTGTCTTCTTCCTCAAATAAAGATGCTTTGACTTGTAATGCTTGTTCTGTTTCAAAATGCCATAGACTACCTTTTAAACTTTCAAATCATCTGTAAATAATCCATTGGCATTAATTCACACTGATGTTTGGGGTCCATTTAATTGTTCTTCCTCTACTTAAAAGTATTATGTGTTGTTTGTGGATGATTTTAGTCATTTTACATGGATTTATCCTCTTTTATTACAAAAGTGAAGTGTTTTCAAAATTTTTGGAGTTCAAAGCTTTTGCTGAAAAATAATTTGGGTTTCCTCTTCAGATTTTAAGGTTTGATGGAGGTGGTAAATTTATTAATCAATCTATGAAAGTGTTTCTGCAAACTCATGGCATTCATCACCAATTCTCTTGTCCTCACATTCCATCTCAAAATGGGGTTGCCGAGCGCAAACATTTGCATATTATTGAGACTGCGATCTCTCTTTTACATCGCTCTTCTTTACCACTTACCTATTGGTTTGGTGCCGTGGCCACCGCCACATATCTCATTAACAGGCTTCCTAGAAAAAATCTTTCTGGTTTATCTCCTTGTGAATTACTCTATAAACATCCTCGTGACTATTCTAACCTCAGAGTCTTTGGTTATTTGTGTTACCCCTGGCTTAAGCCCTATTCTCCTCATAAATTGGCACCCAAATCAGCTCTTTGTGTCTTTCTCGGGTATCACCCTTCTGTCAAGGGTTATAGATGCCTTAATCCTCTCACAGGCAAAATTTTTCTTTCTCGGCATGTTAGATTTCATAAGGCATCTTTTCCCTTTTCTACTTGTTCTTCACAGTCCTCCAAGTCTTCACAGCCTTCCTTATCTCAACTCCAGACCTTCTTTTGGTCACCTACCCCTCTCTCCTCATCCACACCTATATCTCCTTCTCTGCAGCAGCCTATTTACTCTCTGCCGCAGTCTGCTTCCCTACTGCAGCAGCATACTTCTTCTCTGCCACAGCAGCCTACTTCACCAGTGCAGCCGTCTTCCTCCCTAGTACCGCAGTCTACTTCCTCTCTGCCGCATCTACCTGCTTTTTCTCTACTGCACCCTGCAATACAGCCTCCTTATTCGCATCAATCTCCGTCTTTGTCTTAGTTACCAATGCCTCATCTACCTCCTGTGCCTGTACCTTCTCACCCTTCTTGTGACAACCCTCACCACTGATTAGTGCAAATCTATGATTAAGCATGTTAATTGACTGACTGACTAAAATACTGAATTGATCGATTGAATGTGCTAGTTTAAATGCATATCTATCTATTGACTGTTAAATTATCTGTTCATGTTTTATGCTTTAAACTGCAGATTGGAGGCCTTGTCGGCGGCCGAATCTGAAATGGATTAATGTTTTATGCTAATTAGGATTTATGTGATTTTATGGTATATTTAATTGAAATGTGATTCTGTATGATTAAATTAGATTAAATAAGCTAAATTACATAAGTTGGGCCTTTTTACTAATTTGTCATCTAGTGGACTTAGCTAGGCTATTGTTTAGTCTTCAATTACATATGTTGGCATCACTTTTCCTCAGCCATTTTCTTGAGGCAAACCGACCAAGAGAGAAGAGAGAGAGAGAGTGAGAGAAATTGAGTTCCATCTTGTGAATTGCTTGGTGAATTAAAGAAATTGAAGGTTGATTTCATAGTTGAGCTTCCTACACTTGATATTCAAGGTCTAAGGTAGAGAATCCACCTTCTTAAACTTGTCTTTAAGTTAGTTCTTACTTGATTCTTGTTATATTAAAAACTGGAGTCAAAGTTAGCTTAATATGTTGAATTGAGTAGGAATTCATGCATGCATGTTGCCATTCTTGAGTTTTGAGGATTTCTGTCCATGGAATTCCACATGCATGTTCATATTATAGTTCTAATTCATGAATTCCTCATGATTTTGAAAGGATTGGCTCATTTGTTCTTGTAATAAAAGTCTTGAGGTTGATTAAATCCAGGCATGTTATGTTTTACATCATGTTCATGAGATTGGTTTGAAATTGTGTTTAATTGAACTACCTTTGGATTTTGATTTTACAAATTGAGCTTTGAATCATGTTATATTATGAATTTACAAGTGTTTTCCAGAAATTGGCCAAAGAGGATCGAATTTGGTGTTTTAAAACTTGTTTTTGAGCTTGAGGTTCAATCTGAAAATTTCATATTTTGGACTCACGCTCGAGCGTGAAATTCGTGCATCTAGCACTTTACACTGTTTTACAGTCCGCTCGAGCGGGATATTAGACGCTCGAGCGAGGACTTGTGTCACACGCTCGAGCGGGTATCGAGCGCCCAATCGAGCGTGATTTTCACACATCCAGTACTTTTGGCATGTTTTACAGTCCGCTCGAGCGGGGTAACTCGCGCTCGAGCGGAGTATTTTGTTTGCATGTACGCTCAAGCGGGTGAACCCACGCTCGAGCGGGAACCCTGTTTTCTGAAAATTTGTTAAGTATTTTAAAAGGGTATCTTTGCATCCTCATTTCATCCTAGGCATTCTTAGGCCTAGTTCAAGGCATCTTAATGAGGATATTGATGTAGAACCACACCGAGTCAAGATAGGGATTAAGTTATTATTTCTCAACCGTGTAGCTTAGTGCGTGTTCACTCTGTAATTGTGTAGGGTTGGCATCCGAGGACGCGTACTAGCTTATCTATAGCCCAAAACTCTGTGAGTAACAATGTTGTAAAGATATGTTCAATTGAGATTATTTTCTGAACAAATGACTGTATTGCTTTATGAAATGACACTGTTTACTGAATGAATGTTTGCCCTATTTGTGAACTGTATTCGTGGTATCCATAGCAATATACTGTTACTGAACTGTTACCGCTACTGTTACAGAGATCTCTGTCGGTTCCCATGTTTGGAACCATTACTGATGGCCATCATTGACTGCTCGGTCTGTTAAGACCTACTATACTGCTTTGCTATTGGATGTACCACATATGACTATTATAGTTTCTGAATGACTGTTATGGCAGGAATTATGAGTCACAAACTGAATGACTGATATACTGTTTAAATGACTGTTTTCAATACTGAAAGGACATTCATTCTTAACCTCTTTACGCATATGTTATTCACTGGGTTTTAGCTCACTGCTCATATATATATGTAGGTGTACAGGCACCGGACCGTTATTAGGAGCGTCGGGATAAACTCCAGTTTTGTCAAGCCAACCTTTGTGCCTCACTTTGAGGCTCCAGAACTGTTCAAGCCGACGCTGTTTGGGGTCTTTTAGTTTTCTCTTTTTTGTTTCTGATCTGTATAGACTGAATGTTTTTGTACTGTACTGTCTTAATAGGGATCAAGTCCCTGTCCTGAATGATTGTATATATTGTACATACTATTTTGGTACTGATTGTATATATATATGAAAAGTCTTTTTGCATACAGACTGTCACAGCTCATTGGACATATTTTAACTATTGTTTTGGCTTCTGCCAGCCTCTGTACTCTGTATTACTGTTAAGCAGGCCTTCGGTAATCTCAGATTACTGGCCGGCTACAGTGCTAAACCCATAGGGGCGGGTTTGGGTCGTGACACTTTTACTCCTTCTATTCCTAATATTCATCCTATAACTACACGATCGAAATCTCACCCTACTTGTCTTATAACCTCCACTCCTCTTTCTCCAGATGATACTGAACCCATCTCATACCACCATGCTCTTCTCTTTCCTGTCTAGTTCCACGCCTTGCTTGATGAGTATACTGTTCTTCAACAACAGGGCACTTGGTCCCTTGTTCCTCTTCCTCCATCCAAGCAATCTATTGGGTGCAAATAGGTTTTTAAAACCAAGACAAATTCTGATGGAACTGTTGCCCGACATAAAGCCAGACTTGTCGTTAAGTGTCACGACCCAAACCCACCCCTATGGGTTTAGTACCGTAACCGGCCAATAATCCAAGATTACCGAAGGCCTGCTTAACAGTAATACAGTAAAATAGAGTACAAGGGCATGGCGGAAGCCAAAATAGTAAATAAACAATATCCAATGAGCTGTGACAGTCTGTATGCCAAAAAGACTTTTCATGCACATATATACAGTCGGACATAACAGTATGTACATATATACAATCATTCAGTTCAGGGACCTAATCCCTATTAAACAGTACAGTACAGTAACAGTTTACAGTTTACAAGACAGAATAGAAGGGGAAAAACTAAAACACCCCATAGCCTTAGCTTGACAGGCTCGAAACCTCACAGTGAGGCACAGTGGTTGGCTTGACAAAACTGGAGCTTACCCCGACGCTTCTAACCACGGTCTGGTGCCTGTACACCTACATATATATATATATATATATGAGCAGTGAGCTAAAGCCCAGTGAATAACATAATGCGTAAAGAGGTTAAGAATGAATGTCCTTTCAGTATTGAAAACAGTCAGTTAATTCAGTATATCAGTCACAACAGTCATATGTGGTACATCCATTAGTATAACAGTACAGTAAACAATAGGTCTTAAAAGACCGAATAGTAAATGATGGCCATCAATCAGTAACAGTAGTGGTTCCAACAAGGGAACCGACAGAGATCTCTGTAACAGTAACAGTAAACAGTAGTTGCTAAGGATGCCACAATACAGTTCAGAATATAGGACATACATTCATTTAATTAACAGTATCAGTTCAGAAAGCAGTACAGTTCAATTGTTCAAAAGATAATCATTTTGAACATATCTTTACACAGTTGTTACTCACAGAGTTCTGGGCTACAGTAAAGCTAGAGCGCGTCCTCAGTTGCCAACTCTACACAGTTTACAGATTGAACACACACTAAGCTACACAGTTGGGAAAGATAATAACTTATTCCCTAATTTGCTTCGGTGTGGTTCTACATCTATATCCTCATTAAGATGCCTTAAACTAGGCCTAATAATGCCTAGGATGGGATGAGGATGCAAAGATGCACTTTAAAAGCATTTTCAGAATTTTCAAAATTTTCAGAAAATAGGGGTCCCGCTCGACCGTAGGTTAATCCGCTCGAGCGGATATGCACACAAAGGTTTCTGCTCGAGCATAGAATTACCCGCTCGAGCGTTCAGCAAAACAGTCAAAAGTGCTGGATGGGTGAAAATCACGCTCGATTTGGCGCTCGACACCCGCTCGAGCATGAGACACAATGTCCCGCTCGAGCGTCAATTATTCCGCTCGAGCGGACTTCAAAACAGTGCAAAGTACTGAGAGCACGAATTTCACGCTCGAGCGCTAGTTACCCCGTTCGAGCGTGAGTTCAAAATTTTGAATTTCCAGATTTGAACTTCAAGCTCAAAACCAAGTTCAAACGCATCAAAACGAATCCTCTTGGGCTAATATTCCAGAAAACTCCTCAAAACTCATAGCTTAACATGATTCAAACCTCAATTTGTAAAATCAAAGCCCAAGGGAAGATCAATTAAACACAATTTCAAACCATCTTTCAAGAACATAATCCAAGCATGACATGCATGAGTTTAGCTAGCTTCCAAAACATGCTCCAAGGAGCCGATTCTTTCCAAAACAAGATGAAATCATGGTTTATGATCAAAACATGGACATGCATGTGGCAAATTCATGAAGAACAAGCTCTAAAATGCAAGAGTATGCCATGCATGCAATAATTAAGCTTCAATTCAACACTATTGAACCAATTCTTGACTTAACTCGTTAAGCTATCATGATCCATGCTAGAAGGAACTTAAATATACAATTTAGAGGATGGAATTCATACCTAGGTTCCTCAATTACAAGTCTAGAGGCTCAATTATGCACTTAAGCTTTCAATCTCTACAAGACTCTAAGCCAAATTATGAAGAACTCAAGCTTTCTCTACCTCTCACTCTCTCAAGTCGGCAAGAACAAGAAAGATGGGCTGATGAAGTGTTGTAATGTTAACATTAGAGATCAACTAAGAGGCTCATGAAAGTCCACTAAGTGGCAAAATATCAATTAAGTCCAACTCTTGCAATTTAACTCATTTTAATCCAATTTAATCATACCAAATCACATTTTAGATAAATACACCATAAAATCATATAAATTCCAATGAACACAAATCATCAATCAATTTCAGATTCGGCCGCCGATAAGGCCTTCAATTCGCAATTTAAACACAAAGGCATGAACAGATAATCAAACAGTCAATAGATAGACTTATAATTAAACAGATATACTTAATCAATTCAGTTCCAGATTTTAGTCAGTCAGTTCAGTACTTCAATCAATTCAGTTACCAATCATAATCAGTCTCAGTTTAGCAGTAATTAGTGGTTAATCGGTAAACAGTGACGAGGGTTGTTACACTAAGGGCTTTCTTCAGCAACATGGCATTGATTTTCACGATACCTTCAGTCCTGTGGCCAAGCAACCCACCATTCGGATCATGTTATGTTTGGCTTTACATCATCATTAGCCCCTCAAACAACTGGATATTAGTAATGCCTTTTTGCATGGTCATCTTGAGGAGGAAGTTTACATGGATCAACTACTTGGGTTTGTTGATCCCTCTAAGCGTACTATGGTCTGTAAACTACATAAGGCTCTTTATGGCTTAAAGCAAGCACCAAGAACATGGTTCTCTACATTTTCTAGATTTCTTCTTTCTCAAGGTTTCCTTCAAAGCAAATGTGACTCCTCTTTATTTGTCCGCAAGACCACTTCTTCTATCACTTATCTTCTCATCTATGTTGATGACATTCTCCTCATTGGCACTAATGAAGAATTTATTCAGACTCTTCTCATCCACATGCACAAGGCATTTTCCATGAAGGAACTTTGTCACATCTCCTATTTTCTAAGCATTTTGGTTCAGTCTTCTCCTCATGGCTATTTTCCTTCCCAATCAAAATATGCTACTGATATTTTTGCGAAGGCCGGAATGAAGGATTGTAAACCTTGTGCTACTCTTGTCTTTCTCAAACCCCCTCTTCTTCCCCATGCTTCTCTTCTATTCTCCCAACCTTTTCTCTATCGTAGTATTGTTGGCGCTCTTCAGTATCTTACCATTACAAGGCATGAACTCTCCTATGTTGTTAACTTTGCTTGCCAGTACATGCACTCTCCTACCAATTGCCATTTTGCTGCTGTCAAACGCATTCTACGATATGTTCAGGGCATTTTGTCTCATGGTTTGCACTTTCAGCCCAGTAATTTTCATCTTCAGGCTTATAGTGATTCTAACTGGGCTGGTGATCTATCTGATCGTAAATCCACTTCTGGGTATTGTGTTTATTTGGGTGCCAATCTCATCTCATGGTCTTCTATGAAACAATCCACAGTATCCCGTAGCTCCACCGAAGCTGAGTATCGTTATTTAGCTCATACCACTGCCAAATTAACCTGGTTGCAAATGTTGCTTGCTGAATTTGCTATACCCCAACCTTCTCTTCCTGTGCTATGGTGTGATAACCTTTCTTCTCTTTCCTTGGCTACCAATCCTGTCTTTCATAACCGTTCTAAACACATCGAAGTGACTGCCATTTTGTTCGCGAGAAGGTTGCCGCTCGCCAGTTGTTGTTCAAGTATGTTCTAACCTCGGCTCAACTTGCTGATGTCTTCACTAAACCACTGTCCTCTACTCGATTTGCCTTTCTCACATCCAAGCTAAGGGTTGCTTCTCCACCCCTTATCTTGCGGGGGAATGATAAGGATCCTTCATCATCTGCAGATACGGCAGTTGTATAATAGCTAGATATATTCTGTTGTAGACTAGCATTCTATATGACAAGATACAATTACACAATTACATAGTTAGGATTAGTTAGATAGAATTAGTTAGGTGGTTACCATGTGTGTATATACTTGTAGAGAGATGGAATGAAATTAATGAAAAAAAATATCTTTAGACTTTCTTCCGACAATATATATACACTATAAAACAGCAATATATATACACACTATATATGACATCAAATTGTTTGACGATGATGAATCAGTTGACAAATCTAAACAAGTTGACGAATCTGAACAATTATATAAAATGGGTGTTCTTCATTGGTTTGGAAGAATCTGTGTTTGGTTTTAGTTTTTTGAATTTAGTTTTTTAGAAATTGAGTTTTTTATTTTTTGAATTTATTATTATTTTTTTTGTTTTTAGTCAATAGTTTGAAAATTTTAAGCAATTTTTTTTACTTTTTTATATGAACCTTACTTAGATGTATCTAAATAATAAAATATTTTTGAAAAAATATTTTAAAAAATAATAAATACACAAAAATATGAAAAAGTACTAAATTTTCTTTTTTTTTTTTTGTATTTTTGTATTTAGTGATTTTTTTTATAATTTTTTTTATAATTTTTTTACTTTTTAGGTGTATTTATGTTAGGTGTGTCTAAAAAATAAAAAAAATTATTTAAAATATTAAAAAAATTCAATAAAAATAAAAAAATACAAAAAATAAAAAAACAAAATTTTTTAAAAAATATTTTTAAAAAAACACAACCAAACAAGCTGAATAGTATTTTTTTACACCCTCATAATACCAAATATATCCTTATCTCTAATCTTACATTCTCTCCTTATACCCCATTCTCTTCCTCTCTTGTTGCATTCCTCTTTCTATCTCCTTTCCATCATTATAGAGGAGGATGGCAACGGAGTAGGAAATGAAGAGCGTTGGGATGGTATTTACTTGGAAGATCCTTTCATAGGAACCCTTTTTATTTTTATTTATTTTTTTGGGTGAGAGCTTTGTTTGGCCTTTTGTTCGGCCAACCAAAGTTAAACAAATACAGACCAAAATTAGCAAAATTAGTCGCGTTCAACCTTAATTATCTGAGCAAGCTAAGATGTTTGATAACAAAGTCAAATGGAGTTTTGATTCCATTTTTTTCAACAACGATTCATCCCCCCTTTTTTTCCCATCCCCTTTGACCCCCTCTCTCTCATTGGTTACATTTTCTTTTTCTTTTTCTTTTTTTTCCTGCTCCTCCAATCATCACCCGCCACGTGACAAAGAGAGTAAGGGAGTGACCCCCAAAAAGAGTTCCCAAGCATTATTCATTCAAAAAATACCTCTATAAACTTACAACACGGTATTGTGCTCACAGAGAATAGCACCGTTCATATTATAGGTTAATAACTGACTAGTTGGGTATTTGCATCGTCGACACAGTTTTCCAGAATTCCCGACCTCTATAAACTTACAACACGGTATTGTGCTCACAGAGAATAGCACCGTTCATATTATAGGTTAATAACTGACTAGTTGGGTATTTGCATCGTCGACACAGTTTTCCAGAATTCCCGACCTCTATAAACTTACAACACGGTATTGTGCTCACAGAGAATAGCACCGTTCATATTATAGGTTAATAACTGACTAGTTGGGTATTTGCATCGTCGACACAGTTTTCCAGAATTCCCGACCTCTATAAACTTACAACACGGTATTGTGCTCACAGAGAATAGCACCGTTCATATTATAGGTTAATAACTGACTAGTTGGGTATTTGCATCGTCGACACAGTTTTCCAGAATTCCCGACCTCTATAAACTTACAACACGGTATTGTGCTCACAGAGAATAGCACCGTTCATATTATAGGTTAATAACTGACTAGTTGGGTATTTGCATCGTCGACACAGTTTTCCAGAATTCCCGACCTCTATAAACTTACAACACGGTATTGTGCTCACAGAGAATAGCACCGTTCATATTATAGGTTAATAACTGACTAGTTGGGTATTTGCATCGTCGACACAGTTTTCCAGAATTCCCGACCTCTATAAACTTACAACACGGTATTGTGCTCACAGAGAATAGCACCGTTCATATTATAGGTTAATAACTGACTAGTTGGGTATTTGCATCGTCGACACAGTTTTCCAGAATTCCCGACCTCTATAAACTTACAACACGGTATTGTGCTCACAGAGAATAGCACCGTTCATATTATAGGTTAATAACTGACTAGTTGGGTATTTGCATCGTCGACACAGTTTTCCAGAATTCCCGACCTCTATAAACTTACAACACGGTATTGTGCTCACAGAGAATAGCACCGTTCATATTATAGGTTAATAACTGACTAGTTGGGTATTTGCATCGTCGACACAGTTTTCCAGAATTCCCGACCTCTATAAACTTACAACACGGTATTGTGCTCACAGAGAATAGCACCGTTCATATTATAGGTTAATAACTGACTAGTTGGGTATTTGCATCGTCGACACAGTTTTCCAGAATTCCCGACCTCTATAAACTTACAACACGGTATTGTGCTCACAGAGAATAGCACCGTTCATATTATAGGTTAATAACTGACTAGTTGGGTATTTGCATCGTCGACACAGTTTTCCAGAATTCCCGACCTCTATAAACTTACAACACGGTATTGTGCTCACAGAGAATAGCACCGTTCATATTATAGGTTAATAACTGACTAGTTGGGTATTTGCATCGTCGACACAGTTTTCCAGAATTCCCGACCTCTATAAACTTACAACACGGTATTGTGCTCACAGAGAATAGCACCGTTCATATTATAGGTTAATAACTGACTAGTTGGGTATTTGCATCGTCGACACAGTTTTCCAGAATTCCCGACCTCTATAAACTTACAACACGGTATTGTGCTCACAGAGAATAGCACCGTTCATATTATAGGTTAATAACTGACTAGTTGGGTATTTGCATCGTCGACACAGTTTTCCAGAATTCCCGACCTCTATAAACTTACAACACGGTATTGTGCTCACAGAGAATAGCACCGTTCATATTATAGGTTAATAACTGACTAGTTGGGTATTTGCATCGTCGACACAGTTTTCCAGAATTCCCGACCTCTATAAACTTACAACACGGTATTGTGCTCACAGAGAATAGCACCGTTCATATTATAGGTTAATAACTGACTAGTTGGGTATTTGCATCGTCGACACAGTTTTCCAGAATTCCCGACCTCTATAAACTTACAACACGGTATTGTGCTCACAGAGAATAGCACCGTTCATATTATAGGTTAATAACTGACTAGTTGGGTATTTGCATCGTCGACACAGTTTTCCAGAATTCCCGACCTCTATAAACTTACAACACGGTATTGTGCTCACAGAGAATAGCACCGTTCATATTATAGGTTAATAACTGACTAGTTGGGTATTTGCATCGTCGACACAGTTTTCCAGAATTCCCGACCTCTATAAACTTACAACACGGTATTGTGCTCACAGAGAATAGCACCGTTCATATTATAGGTTAATAACTGACTAGTTGGGTATTTGCATCGTCGACACAGTTTTCCAGAATTCCCGACCTCTATAAACTTACAACACGGTATTGTGCTCACAGAGAATAGCACCGTTCATATTATAGGTTAATAACTGACTAGTTGGGTATTTGCATCGTCGACACAGTTTTCCAGAATTCCCGACCTCTATAAACTTACAACACGGTATTGTGCTCACAGAGAATAGCACCGTTCATATTATAGGTTAATAACTGACTAGTTGGGTATTTGCATCGTCGACACAGTTTTCCAGAATTCCCGACCTCTATAAACTTACAACACGGTATTGTGCTCACAGAGAATAGCACCGTTCATATTATAGGTTAATAACTGACTAGTTGGGTATTTGCATCGTCGACACAGTTTTCCAGAATTCCCGACCTCTATAAACTTACAACACGGTATTGTGCTCACAGAGAATAGCACCGTTCATATTATAGGTTAATAACTGACTAGTTGGGTATTTGCATCGTCGACACAGTTTTCCAGAATTCCCGACCTCTATAAACTTACAACACGGTATTGTGCTCACAGAGAATAGCACCGTTCATATTATAGGTTAATAACTGACTAGTTGGGTATTTGCATCGTCGACACAGTTTTCCAGAATTCCCGACCTCTATAAACTTACAACACGGTATTGTGCTCACAGAGAATAGCACCGTTCATATTATAGGTTAATAACTGACTAGTTGGGTATTTGCATCGTCGACACAGTTTTCCAGAATTCCCGACCTCTATAAACTTACAACACGGTATTGTGCTCACAGAGAATAGCACCGTTCATATTATAGGTTAATAACTGACTAGTTGGGTATTTGCATCGTCGACACAGTTTTCCAGAATTCCCGACCTCTATAAACTTACAACACGGTATTGTGCTCACAGAGAATAGCACCGTTCATATTATAGGTTAATAACTGACTAGTTGGGTATTTGCATCGTCGACACAGTTTTCCAGAATTCCCGACCTCTATAAACTTACAACACGGTATTGTGCTCACAGAGAATAGCACCGTTCATATTATAGGTTAATAACTGACTAGTTGGGTATTTGCATCGTCGACACAGTTTTCCAGAATTCCCGACCTCTATAAACTTACAACACGGTATTGTGCTCACAGAGAATAGCACCGTTCATATTATAGGTTAATAACTGACTAGTTGGGTATTTGCATCGTCGACACAGTTTTCCAGAATTCCCGACCTCTATAAACTTACAACACGGTATTGTGCTCACAGAGAATAGCACCGTTCATATTATAGGTTAATAACTGACTAGTTGGGTATTTGCATCGTCGACACAGTTTTCCAGAATTCCCGACCTCTATAAACTTACAACACGGTATTGTGCTCACAGAGAATAGCACCGTTCATATTATAGGTTAATAACTGACTAGTTGGGTATTTGCATCGTCGACACAGTTTTCCAGAATTCCCGACCTCTATAAACTTACAACACGGTATTGTGCTCACAGAGAATAGCACCGTTCATATTATAGGTTAATAACTGACTAGTTGGGTATTTGCATCGTCGACACAGTTTTCCAGAATTCCCGACCTCTATAAACTTACAACACGGTATTGTGCTCACAGAGAATAGCACCGTTCATATTATAGGTTAATAACTGACTAGTTGGGTATTTGCATCGTCGACACAGTTTTCCAGAATTCCCGACCTCTATAAACTTACAACACGGTATTGTGCTCACAGAGAATAGCACCGTTCATATTATAGGTTAATAACTGACTAGTTGGGTATTTGCATCGTCGACACAGTTTTCCAGAATTCCCGACCTCTATAAACTTACAACACGGTATTGTGCTCACAGAGAATAGCACCGTTCATATTATAGGTTAATAACTGACTAGTTGGGTATTTGCATCGTCGACACAGTTTTCCAGAATTCCCGACCTCTATAAACTTACAACACGGTATTGTGCTCACAGAGAATAGCACCGTTCATATTATAGGTTAATAACTGACTAGTTGGGTATTTGCATCGTCGACACAGTTTTCCAGAATTCCCGACCTCTATAAACTTACAACACGGTATTGTGCTCACAGAGAATAGCACCGTTCATATTATAGGTTAATAACTGACTAGTTGGGTATTTGCATCGTCGACACAGTTTTCCAGAATTCCCGACCTCTATAAACTTACAACACGGTATTGTGCTCACAGAGAATAGCACCGTTCATATTATAGGTTAATAACTGACTAGTTGGGTATTTGCATCGTCGACACAGTTTTCCAGAATTCCCGACCTCTATAAACTTACAACACGGTATTGTGCTCACAGAGAATAGCACCGTTCATATTATAGGTTAATAACTGACTAGTTGGGTATTTGCATCGTCGACACAGTTTTCCAGAATTCCCGACCTCTATAAACTTACAACACGGTATTGTGCTCACAGAGAATAGCACCGTTCATATTATAGGTTAATAACTGACTAGTTGGGTATTTGCATCGTCGACACAGTTTTCCAGAATTCCCGACCTCTATAAACTTACAACACGGTATTGTGCTCACAGAGAATAGCACCGTTCATATTATAGGTTAATAACTGACTAGTTGGGTATTTGCATCGTCGACACAGTTTTCCAGAATTCCCGACCTCTATAAACTTACAACACGGTATTGTGCTCACAGAGAATAGCACCGTTCATATTATAGGTTAATAACTGACTAGTTGGGTATTTGCATCGTCGACACAGTTTTCCAGAATTCCCGACCTCTATAAACTTACAACACGGTATTGTGCTCACAGAGAATAGCACCGTTCATATTATAGGTTAATAACTGACTAGTTGGGTATTTGCATCGTCGACACAGTTTTCCAGAATTCCCGACCTCTATAAACTTACAACACGGTATTGTGCTCACAGAGAATAGCACCGTTCATATTATAGGTTAATAACTGACTAGTTGGGTATTTGCATCGTCGACACAGTTTTCCAGAATTCCCGACCTCTATAAACTTACAACACGGTATTGTGCTCACAGAGAATAGCACCGTTCATATTATAGGTTAATAACTGACTAGTTGGGTATTTGCATCGTCGACACAGTTTTCCAGAATTCCCGACCTCTATAAACTTACAACACGGTATTGTGCTCACAGAGAATAGCACCGTTCATATTATAGGTTAATAACTGACTAGTTGGGTATTTGCATCGTCGACACAGTTTTCCAGAATTCCCGACCTCTATAAACTTACAACACGGTATTGTGCTCACAGAGAATAGCACCGTTCATATTATAGGTTAATAACTGACTAGTTGGGTATTTGCATCGTCGACACAGTTTTCCAGAATTCCCGACCTCTATAAACTTACAACACGGTATTGTGCTCACAGAGAATAGCACCGTTCATATTATAGGTTAATAACTGACTAGTTGGGTATTTGCATCGTCGACACAGTTTTCCAGAATTCCCGACCTCTATAAACTTACAACACGGTATTGTGCTCACAGAGAATAGCACCGTTCATATTATAGGTTAATAACTGACTAGTTGGGTATTTGCATCGTCGACACAGTTTTCCAGAATTCCCGACCTCTATAAACTTACAACACGGTATTGTGCTCACAGAGAATAGCACCGTTCATATTATAGGTTAATAACTGACTAGTTGGGTATTTGCATCGTCGACACAGTTTTCCAGAATTCCCGACCTCTATAAACTTACAACACGGTATTGTGCTCACAGAGAATAGCACCGTTCATATTATAGGTTAATAACTGACTAGTTGGGTATTTGCATCGTCGACACAGTTTTCCAGAATTCCCGACCTCTATAAACTTACAACACGGTATTGTGCTCACAGAGAATAGCACCGTTCATATTATAGGTTAATAACTGACTAGTTGGGTATTTGCATCGTCGACACAGTTTTCCAGAATTCCCGACCTCTATAAACTTACAACACGGTATTGTGCTCACAGAGAATAGCACCGTTCATATTATAGGTTAATAACTGACTAGTTGGGTATTTGCATCGTCGACACAGTTTTCCAGAATTCCCGACCTCTATAAACTTACAACACGGTATTGTGCTCACAGAGAATAGCACCGTTCATATTATAGGTTAATAACTGACTAGTTGGGTATTTGCATCGTCGACACAGTTTTCCAGAATTCCCGACCTCTATAAACTTACAACACGGTATTGTGCTCACAGAGAATAGCACCGTTCATATTATAGGTTAATAACTGACTAGTTGGGTATTTGCATCGTCGACACAGTTTTCCAGAATTCCCGACCTCTATAAACTTACAACACGGTATTGTGCTCACAGAGAATAGCACCGTTCATATTATAGGTTAATAACTGACTAGTTGGGTATTTGCATCGTCGACACAGTTTTCCAGAATTCCCGACCTCTATAAACTTACAACACGGTATTGTGCTCACAGAGAATAGCACCGTTCATATTATAGGTTAATAACTGACTAGTTGGGTATTTGCATCGTCGACACAGTTTTCCAGAATTCCCGACCTCTATAAACTTACAACACGGTATTGTGCTCACAGAGAATAGCACCGTTCATATTATAGGTTAATAACTGACTAGTTGGGTATTTGCATCGTCGACACAGTTTTCCAGAATTCCCGACCTCTATAAACTTACAACACGGTATTGTGCTCACAGAGAATAGCACCGTTCATATTATAGGTTAATAACTGACTAGTTGGGTATTTGCATCGTCGACACAGTTTTCCAGAATTCCCGACCTCTATAAACTTACAACACGGTATTGTGCTCACAGAGAATAGCACCGTTCATATTATAGGTTAATAACTGACTAGTTGGGTATTTGCATCGTCGACACAGTTTTCCAGAATTCCCGACCTCTATAAACTTACAACACGGTATTGTGCTCACAGAGAATAGCACCGTTCATATTATAGGTTAATAACTGACTAGTTGGGTATTTGCATCGTCGACACAGTTTTCCAGAATTCCCGACCTCTATAAACTTACAACACGGTATTGTGCTCACAGAGAATAGCACCGTTCATATTATAGGTTAATAACTGACTAGTTGGGTATTTGCATCGTCGACACAGTTTTCCAGAATTCCCGACCTCTATAAACTTACAACACGGTATTGTGCTCACAGAGAATAGCACCGTTCATATTATAGGTTAATAACTGACTAGTTGGGTATTTGCATCGTCGACACAGTTTTCCAGAATTCCCGACCTCTATAAACTTACAACACGGTATTGTGCTCACAGAGAATAGCACCGTTCATATTATAGGTTAATAACTGACTAGTTGGGTATTTGCATCGTCGACACAGTTTTCCAGATATGGAAGTGCTATGGTGAGTGACCCCACAGTGTGTTCTCCTATGAAATTGGAATGGTATACCAACTTCTTTGTTTATATCCTTGTTTTTTAAATTATCTATTACTATTTTTGTTTCTACAGGTTCATCATGTTGGTATGTCAGTTCAAATCTCTAGTAGCAATTTACCTATGCCACGATTGATTATCGAAGCTCTTCTTACAGGCCTTTTTACAAACAAATGGATGTAGTCATCTTTCATTTATCCCTTTTCAACAGAAGACCTATCACGAATGGATGAAGTAAGGCATTAGTGTTATTGAGGGAAAAGTAAAGCACCACCAATTTGTTTACGAGATTTAATTGGTTATATTCACTGGGGAACTCTTTTAGTTAACCCTAATTTCTTGATCACATCTATTTTAATTAAGTATCCATTGGAATATTAGCTAATGTTGGTTGGCAAATGAAGCGATAATGTTGTTAGATAAAAATATAGTCAATATCATGGACAATCTACATTGAAGGCTTGAAGTATGGTAGATGACAATGTTGTTACATGAAAATATAGTCGGCATCATGGACCATCTACATTGATGTCTTGGGAGTATATTTGCATAAATCAATTCCATTGTTGATGTGGACTCAATTTAGGGAAAATTTTAGTTTTGCTATGTGTATGCTTTGGAAGTGCCTTTGGCACTTTGCTTATGATTGACCATTGTAGGCATATATGTTAATGAAATCTTGAACATAACCAGCAGTTATGTATTTTTAAATGGATTTGGCATGGCTACTAGATAGGACATATCTTTTTGTGGAAATTTGAATGGTCATAGTAGGAAGTGCTTAAAGTTAATAGGGGAAGATGGGCCTTATCCTCTAATACCCATGGTCAACACATGATGTTTATAGTTTAAAACTTCCATTTCATGGGAGAAATCTATTTCCTAACCATTAATTTGAGCATTGAATATTGATACTAATTTTTTTTCTTGGATTTGATTTTAATTAAAGTTATGATTTTACTAAAGAAATGTTCTCAAGTACTTAATTGAAGATATAGAATTCTCATGTTATCAGGTAGGGTCTAAAAGCCATTGATTTGCATAGAAAACTGTTAACGAGATACTATTTATATGTTTGAATAGCTAAGGGTCGCCATTGAGAAGAGTCCTGCTATTTTTAACAAAGAGAAAGCACATGAGTGATTGTCAAAGCTATCTGGCGGTGTTGCCGTTTTCAAGGTAAATATTTATTGAATTTCTCCTGTTGTATGTATTTTAATGACTTCATTGCAAGTCGTCTTCTTTCAGGTTAGAAGGGCTAGCAAGGCCGAAGTTAGAGAAAGGATAGATTGGGTTACAGATGCTTTAAATGCAACAAGAGCAGTTGTGGAAGAGGGAATTGTTCCAGGTAATACATAAACTTGTAAATAATATAGACTTTAATTTGACTTGGACTCTTTATTTTGGAACTTACAATGGTAATGGATAAAAGCTATACAAACCTAAACCTCATACATACAGATCCTTTAACATAATTATGCAAGGCCGAAGTATGCGTTGCATTGAAGTAGATTAATTCCACCTTGTCCTCTTTTTAAATTTAATTTTTCTCTTGAGCTTCTTATGGCCTGGATTTAGTAGCAAACTATATTTTCCTTTACAAACTTAATGGTTTGTTTGAAGATTCCTACTTATTTCCCTCTAGAAACATTGCAACAAAAGAGGTAACTTCATTAGAGGTAACTTCATCTGAGGTATGAAAAAAAAGGCTTTGCTTTATGTGGATATTATTTGCATAGACGTTGAGACTGTTGAGATCTTGAATTTTTGCTAATTTTTCATTATGACATTGCTTTATGGGGCCATTGAATTATCTTATTAAATTTGAAAATATTTTGTTGATGTTTTAAAATTTCTTGATCATTTCTTAATACCTCAATAAATATTTTTGTCCCTGAGTTGTTGGTTTTTGTACTTATGTGAAGTTTTCTTTGTCATGTAGATAAGAAATGCAACAGGGTTAGTTACCCCAGCTATTGCTGCGAGTTTAGGTGCCTTAACACATACATTGGGCATCTTCGTCCCTGTGATAGGAGCAAGTGGATTTGCTACAGCTGCAGTTGCAACTGTTATAGGAACTGTTGTCGGTAGTTTTAGATAATCGCTTAATAGTTGTCGATATGTTTAGAAAGTTAGATATGCATAGTTTTGGATGGTTTAAAAATTTTGAATAGTTTAGAACTTAAGGATATAGTTTTTGAATGTTTGGAATGTATATACAATTGTTGAATGTTTATAATTTATGGATATAGTTTCTTTTTGATGTTTCAAACAATATTTTGGTGGTTGATTGATGTTTTTGTGATGCTTGTTTGTAATATTTGTTAGATTGTACAAAATTGGTCAAATGGAACCTATTGAATTTAAACATAAAAAAACTGCATATTCTACGACAGGCATAATAAGTCGTTGTATTACATATTTTATGGCGTGCAATCAGTGTCGTTATTTGTCTCACCAATTAACGGCGTGCAAAAGTAGTTGTAGAAAAAGTAACAATGACACACAAAATCTGTCATTAAATAGTTTTTAACGGCGCACTATAGCATGTCATAGAAAAAGTAACAACGACGCACAAAATCTGCCATTAAATGGTTTCTAATAGCTTACGAAACATGTTGTTGAAAGTGAATGACATTCCATGACTAGTCATAATATGACGCGCGCTGCACGTCGTAGAAGGGTTTTCATGGTGTGCATTGCACGCCGTAAAAACTTTTTTTTTTTTTGTAGTGATCGGTCGCAAGATGTCCGAAAATAGCCAAAGGTGAACCATTGGATCTCCGGAACCATCGAAACGGTCAATATGCGGCATTTTAAACCAATCCGATAATGTCACTACAAAATCGGTGTACTCGTCTTCTATGCCCGGGATGGAGTTAACCCCTTGTGCTCTCTTGAATAACTTTTTCAGTTTATTGACCTTGAGTATAGTTGGGTCAATCTCAAACTCAAACAGAACCTTAGTCTGATAAACAGGGGTTTTGGAGGCTTGTGTTGGGATGGGCTCGGCTGGATTGCCCTGATTTTCTTGGACATTGGTAGTATGAGAAGTGGCTCTGGGTGCTGGGGTACCCGTGGGAGGTGCATGGAATGCAGAGGCCATGGTCGGCTGTGATTGCTGTTGTTGTAGGCGGGTTATAACCTCAGCCTGGCGGGCCGCATCTTGCTGTAGGGTTTCAACTGTCTGTTGCAGAAGATGTATCAAGTTTTCCATACTGACTGGGGGATACTGTGCCATTGGAATAGGCGATTGATCTTGTGCTAGGGTAGAAGTAGATGACTGTCCCTGAACCAAACTAGACACTGGTGAATTAAAGGGTGACTGCTGCAAAAACTGAATCGGTGAACTCTGCCTGATTCTCCTTCGTCTTGTAATCGGTGGAAGTCAGTTAAACACGGGCTATCCTCGAACAGGATCCCCAGCTTTACAAAGTCTTCTGACTCAGGTCCAGAGTACTTGGGGGATATCCAAACTTTCTGAAGCTATGGTGTTAAACTACCTAACAAAAGAAATAAAGCAAGAATAACAGTAATTAGAAACCACACAGCACCTTAGCTAATGATGCTATCAACATAGACATGATCAAAGCCGTAGGACTATACCCCACACGGAATTCTGCCCCCAAAACAGATACCAAATTTGCAACTGCTATGCACATCCATGTACAGTTTCATTATAAGGCACATACCAGTTAAGTGAACGCCAAAACACTCTTATGAGGGGGTAGGGTTACCCTGTCCTAGTTTCGTTAGGAACTAGGGTTCACTATTCAAACAAAGCAGTTTCATGTAAGCCTGTATTTAGAGTGAGCATCCTGTCCTAGTTTGGAACAGTCACTAAGGCTTTACTATATGCAACTAGTCCGAATAGTCAAAAAGTGGTACCTTAGGAAGACCACCTAATATACCTCTCACACCTAATACCGAGAAGTGAAAGGAGGATCAAATGGTACAGTGGTAGTCCAGATCCAAGGGTTGTGTTCCCATCATGGCAGAGCCCACGACTACTCAGCCTTTTGGTAAGCTTTTAGGCAAACCTCTGGCAAACCGTCCAGGAATAGCAGATGGCAAACACAGTGGCTTAGGTGCACCAATGCAAATGCAATGCAAAGAAATATATAAGTGTAGATAAAATTTCACATCATGAATTTTAGGTCAAGTTCTCTAAATCCTCAGTAAAGTCGCTAGAAACTGTAGCTCGACTTTTCGCGCTCCTTTCAGAAGACGAATAAGCCCTACAGTATCAGACTCCCACGGTTCTGAATTTGATATCACTAGTGCAATGTGAAATAGATAAACACCAAAGAGTCCAAATTCGGTAAATCTTTTTGGAAAATCGATTTTAAATCAAAAAAATGCCAAAAATGGATTGATTTGCAAATACAAAGTCGCCACCTAAATGTTTTGAGAAATTTAGGAAACCCATGACTCGTGCCAAAGGCTATGTGTCCGTCATCACCGAAGTTGCCTCGGCTCGGGAACTTAGGTACGAGAGGGGAAGGCCATGAATTGTGCACCCCACTCGCCTGATCAAAGATCGACCTCTACTAATCATGATGTGATTCTTATCTACATTATATGCGCTCGTTCTAGTTATTAGGCTAACCTTACTATGTGATGCGTACACAAGTATAGACTAATTTGTAAAAATTGGAACATTTGATTCATTTTTATTTTTTGAAAATTGTTTCGAATATGTACCACTTGAAAAAGTGATCGCATAAAAAACATCGCTCAAATTACTCCAATTTAAGCAACTAGCCTTCATCCACAGGCATTCAAACAATTTATCAATTAAGCACTTAGCCTCATGGTGAACATCCTTTGACATGGCAACACTAACATACAATGCAATATGCTAAAGCAAGTAAAAGCTCACCTAGTACTCCAAGCCAAAAAAGATAACAAAGTTAGAAAAATACATGATCCTAACTATGCAATATGACTAATGCAATGTGTGCGATATGCAATCTAAATAGGCCCGACTACTTAACATTGCATGTTAATCAATTTGATAGCATGCGGTTTAAGCACGTATTCAAATGAGTATAAGCTATAATAATGCAAATTAGAATGATGCGTCGAGCCTCGGTGCATGCAACACAATGGATGTGAGGCATGAGAGATGCTAAACAAAACATGATGCCCTAAATTAACCATCATAAGAAGTTAAATAAAAGGGAGAAAGACGTGGGCTTGTAAGACATACACATTATTACAATGGTGCCCTCGCGCAGAAGGATCTGAATAAACTAACTAGCTAAGCTAAGCTAATTAACTAGCTATTACAAGACGAAGTAATTAATTATTACAAACTTAATAAACTAACTATTCTAGCTAGGTATTACAAAACCAATAGCACTAACTAATTAATTAATTACAAATTAGAACTAACTAATTAATTGCAACGTGAATACAACATGAAATAAATATTTGAACTAATTAACTAGCCCCGGGAAGCGAGGGATACTCATGCATGCGCAGATTTCCACCCGAAAATCCCACTGTTCTGCTGCCAGAATGCTTTTGTTGCACAGTAGAACCACTTTTCACCTCAAATTCTGCTTTGTTTTGCTCCAAAAAGTCACTGCTCAATTTGACAAAAGTGGCTGGCTGCCAGAAGTGGTGGCCTGCCGGCCACAAATGGTAGCCTGCTGTCTAGAAGTAGTGGCCTGCCAGCCACTGATGCTTGGTTCCTCTTGCTGCAATAGAAAGCACACAGGGCAAGAACAGGGTATTCTCATGGTATGCTTGTACACTTTACCCCTCCTTATCATCAAAACAGCTCAAAGAAGTGGCAAGCTCAATTCATAAACCATCAATCGATGCAATTTCATTGCATGATGACCTATGAACCAAGGTGTGCAATTTCAATAAATGTAACAAGAAAAGACTCCCAAACCTCCTCCCTATCATGAATTCATCAAGGGAAGTGGGAAGTGGTTGACATTGACTCTTGAACCGTTTAGCATAGCTTTGGCAGAGTCTACAAAGAGCTTTGGGAGCCGAGTTGAGGTTTAGCACAACTTTTCATCCCCAGACCGATGGGCAAGCAGAGAAAACAATTCTGACACTTGAAGATATGCTTAGGCTATGTGTATTGGACTTCAAGGGAAGTTCGGAAGTGCATTTGCCATTAGTGGAATTTGCTTACAACAACAGTTATCAAGCCAGCATTGGCATGGCGCCGTACGAAGCTTTGTATGGAAGGAAGTGCAGATCGCCGATATGTTGGACCGAGGTAGGAGACAAAGCTTTGATTGGTCCCAAGCTAGTCCAAGTGACGACTGAGAAGATTATTCAGAAGAGAATCAAAACTGCTCAGAGTCGATAGAAGAGTTATGCTGACCAGAGAAGAAGGGAATTAGAATTGGAAGTTGGGGATCATGTATTCCTGAAGATTTTGCCGATGAAAGGAGTTTCAAGATTTGGGAAGAAAGGTAAGCTAGCACCCCGATACATTGGGCCATTCAAAATTCTTGAGAAGGTTAACCCCGTGGCCTGTAGACTTGCTTTGCCACCAGAATTAAGTCAAGTTCACATTGTGTTTCATGTTTCGATGCCGATGAGGTATATTCGGGAACCACTGCATGTGATTGATTATTTCGGGATTGTGGTTAATGAAGATTTAGATTACGAGGAGAAGCCAATAAGAATTATTGATAGGCAAGTCAAATAGTTACATAACAAGTCAATGCCGATGGTGAAAATTGCATGGAAGGAGCATTATGACAAGGATGCCACATAGCAAATGGAAGAAGAGATGAAAATCCGTTATCCGGAGTTGTTTTCAGGGCAAGGTGACTTAAGTTTGGGGACCAAACTTCTTTAAGGAGGGTAGACTATAATGACCCTCATCCTCATCTTAGCCATATTCATGTGCATCTGCATGATTTTGTTTTGTTAAG